GTCTTACGAGAAGTCTGGCAGCAAAGTTGCCGACCGACAGGCTCTGCTGCACTATCTCTCTTACCTCCTTATCAGACAGCAAATACAGAGAAGGCACAGGGAAGTCTGGATTAGGAACAACGAGTTCATCGAGTGGTATCTTGCAAAAATCCTTGCTGCTTCTTTCTGGTGGCAGCGGCGGCCCTTCGAATTCTTCTCGAAACCTCTCGGGGTTTATTGCATAGCTGAGAAATTCCCTCCTGTCGGGCCCTGGCACGTGGATTTTCCGTTGCTGTTGGTACGTGCGCCTTTGCTCCGTGTCTCTTCGTCGACACCTCTCGTCAAGCTTCCCAACAAACTCCAATGTCCACACTCTGTCATTCTTCGCTCTGGGGTACAGTATCTGCACATAATGTCGAATTAATTTAATTCTAGTGGGGTCGAGCTGTTTCTTGCCTAAAGATCCACTACAGTTGTATTGCTTCCGTAAGTTTTCATGAGTAAACAGTTCAGGAAATAAGAGAACAAGCAATCGAGAGGCAAAGTTGCCTATGGAAAGACTGCTTTCATATATGCTTTTAATCTGTTCTTTGTTCAACAGGTAATCCGGGACAGGGACATCAAAATCGGGAGGGGGGAAGTCAAGTTTGTCAAAGTCTATGGGTACAAGCCAAATTTTTTTTGAGCGTCTGCCAGGTTTTTCATATTCAAAACTGTCTTCCACTTTTATGATTGATACATCATCTGGTAAACTAGAAGAATCGTAACAGTCGTCTCTCATCTGATCACATTCACTTCCATCCATATACGTATTTTCAAGCTCATCGTTTATTCGCTGAACACACTGCTGCAACCAGGCTTCTTCTTCTTGCACGTCTGGAAAGTAAATTTCAGTGTACCTACGGATTATTTGAAGCCGATGAGGATCCAGCAATTGTTTTCCAGAGTCTCCGAAGCAGCTGTACCTTTCAGCTAATTTTCTGTGGTCGAAGAGTTCCGGAAACAATCTGTGTAACAAAAAAACAGAAAATTCCCCTGGAGAAGAAGCTTCATCTAAAAATTCATTGAGATCCTGAGCATCCAGCATGTAATCTGAGGCAATGGCGTTACTCCTGTCCAAGGACAAAGCTTCCTCCTGCTCTTTATCCTCCATAAAATGAGAGGATTCGACCTGCTCAGTCTCATAAAAACTGGACGACTGCACATTCTGCTGACTGTTTTCCATTTCCCTTTGAGCCCAAAATCTATTGAAAAAATCATTGACTTGAGGCAAACACTCCACCTGCCACACAGCTGTATTCTTCACAGAAGGATAGCAAACTTCCACATAGTTACGGATAAGCTGCAGATGAAGAGATTCAAGTTTCCTTTTGTTAAGAAAGCCGCATGCACTGCAGCTTCTGCTGAACTCATCGTCGCTGAAGAGCTCTGGGAAGAGCTGCACTAGCAGCCGGCAAGCAAGGTCTCCGCCTGACGTGCTTTGATCCATGATTTGTTTGAGCTCCGCAGAAGTCAGCTGGTACTCCGGGGGAGGCTTGAAGTCTGCAACGGACTCTGCTGGACTGACTTGCTTTTTAATTCTGCTAACCTCCAGAGACAACAGGTCAACTTTACTGTGAAGCTGAGTCATATTGGTATTGAGGGTGTTAAGCGTGTAAAACATTTTCTGTATCAAAGAATAAATATTTGGGTCTGAATCTGCGGTGGCCGCTGTTACGGCAATGGCTGCAGCCGAGTCCCTTTTGCGTTGGTCGTTCAAAGTCCGAAGATGCGAGGGACTGCTGGGGTTGATCTTTTCAAACAACTCGTAAGAAGCAAACTGCTCTGCTCCTGGTGGGTTCTTCTTCTCCGTGATTTTGTGTGAGATGCCATAGAGAGGTTTCTTATAAGATGGAGTGGTTATGTCACTGAAGGATTCTTCTTCACAGAGCCACGTTACGTTCGGATTCTTGTTCTTGTTTGGCTGCTCTGCATTTACCTGAGTGGGTGAGCCAGTATCTCTGTTCTTCATGTTTGAAAGGGGGCCCTTTGAATGAATAAATATTGTATTAGTAAGACTGCCTTAAAAATATTAGCTATAAGTATGTGCCCCTTAAGCAGGCATTGTTACATAAATATGCAAAGTCAAATTTTCTCCAGAGGACTTAGTTGTGTTAAATGCATCAAAATTAATAAATTCACTAGGAAAAATAAAAATACAGTAAAGTATTATTTAGGGGTATTTTTGTTTGATTTGGCTCATTGCTTTCTCCATGGAATAGAAATGCAATAATAATCCTTAATACTCTACCCAGAGAGCTCTAAAAACTCTCCCAAATTAAGTATCATTATGCTTCACCTTGCATATGAGGATCTATGGGCTGTAAAGAATTTGGGTGGCAACAAGTCAGCAACAGAGCCAAGAATAGAATCTAGATTTTCTGACTCCTAGTCCTGTGACCTTGCCACTGCCTCCAGCAACTGCATTTAACGTTCCAGCACTCTCTTTAAGTTAGCTTTTGAAAATACCACAAAGGCTATACGACACCAAAATTATGCTTATTCTCTTCTTTCTGATGTGAAAGGGTTTTTTTTTATCTTTATAATGGTGTACAGCTCCTAAACAAGTTCTAAGAATGACTGTAATTTTAAAAAAGTATTCCATTTAAACAATAAAAACTTAAAACCAAAGTGAAAAGTACCTTGGTATTGCCTTTTTAAAAAGGGAAGCCTAAGATTTCTCTATTTCTGAAAGGCAGGGAAGTTTAGACTTAAAAGTTTCTAATTTTCTAAATTATTTATATAAAAACCAGTAATGAGCTCTTAAGGAATTAATGTTCTCAATAATTTCTAGCTCTTCCTCATTGCTTGAAATTGGAAGCAAGCATTTTCATCAACTCACAGCAAATATGCAGGGCTTGGGTGGGTTGGTTTTTTTTTTGCAAACACGTGGATATTGCAAATAATTCTTAGGAAGTTAAGTAGATCAACAGAATCAAAATCCAACATACAGAATTCAAACATAAGAAAACATTCACAGATTTTAGAGAAGACTGTACTGAAACATTTTGCTTGGCTTGTTCCACAGAACATTAATTAGATAAAAAACACAGAATTTGCATTCGAGTATTAAAACAAATGGAACACAGACTTGAGGTCTGAGCTGAGAGCCAAAAGCAATTTGAATTCTAGCGAAGACCCCACTATGTCCTACAGTGAGGAATGTGAATTAAGGTTCCTTTCTGAAAGAACAGACACGTAACACTCATGAAATCAATCTGGTCCCTATGTGTACTCACACACGGCATCTGCTTACTGCAGTGATAAATTGAATCTAATTATTTTTTAATTTCTAATGCAATGTATACTCAAAAGAGGCTCAGAAAGAACAAGCCGGTTTCCACTCCAACTTCAGAAACCAGCAGACTCGATTAAATTGAAGCTGTGTTTCCAAGTTCTGCTCTCGTTGACATCATACAACCCTGCACATGAAACCTCATGTTGTCACATCCAAAGCTGTGTGGATGGACAGATGATAAAATGAAAGCATAACGCAAAGGCAATATACTTAACAGTGCGCAGAATCCCTAGCTATGGTGGTGCCTAGGACACCTGCCTTCCAGGTCCCATTTAGAAGACTGTCCCTCCAGTCCCACTCATGTTAAAGCACATTTGCTATGAGGACAGCGAGGAACCAGAGTCCTGCAACACCACCAGCTATTAAAGGGTGACTTTTACCCCAGCAAGTGGTACGATACACCCTAACTAAATCAGCTCTTTGTGACTTGTAAAATACCAGAACACAAGAGACCGAACTGTGAGCAGACTGAGATCCGCACTGCTCCCACCTAACTGTAGGCTCCTATGCTGGGACTGAAGTCATCATACCTCACCTATACTTGTCAGTGGAGAAACAGAGGTATTTCCAGATGGTAATAGGGCTCTCCCAAATAGACGTCACCTGAAAGCCGGTCATGAAAATCTCCAGACAATAAATGTAGTTCTGCTCCCCAGTCAGACACCCAGACTGAATTACGAATTTCTTTTACCATTTTAGGTCAAAAGAACAAAACAAACCTGTAATTCTGGATAATACATTTCCTACAGATATAGTGAGACCTGCTACCTAAGTAGCTAGCTCTTCCATTAACACTCCTGTTTACAGAGAATATTCCAAATATTCCTTCACATACAGAGTATGATTCATTCAATTCCTTCTCTGTGGAATAGCTTGCCACAGGCCACCATCTGTCTGTCAGTAGAACTCCTGCTGTACCTTTTCCTTCCCTAATTAATTATATAATAAAACTTGGCAATGTGGGAGTAACTTCTATTAATGCACACCTCACACACAGAGCCAGGGCAAAGCAATATTAGAATATGTATTAAACAGCACAAATTCACTGTGTTAAGTATCTCATTGCACTTTGACAGTGAGTATTGTGAAAGTTTGCGTTCTCGGTTTTGGACGCGGTGCTCTGTAGGAGGAGAAGTGCTACAGCAGATCTCTGCTGCGATGGCAGCGGAACTTCTGCCCTTTCACTAACGCAGCTCACAGTGTTTGGATCTGGTTGCGGGACGAATTTGGTTTTCTGCATTTCAGAAACACATAGTCAGTGTTCAACTAACAGATGACAATACATTTGGGCCTATATTTAAGGATTTTCTATTTCAGATGTGTTCTCATTTTCTTTCCTTTTGCTTTTAATTATCTTGTCTTTATACAGTCTCCATCTGGGAACAGCACTATCCACAGCATAAATACATGGCTTTTCGTAAATTCTCCAATTAAACTAGTATTTAATATTTTTAACTAGTTTTCTGTAACACTGATCTTTAAACATCAATGTATTTCAGATAATACTACACCCATTTAAGATGATCAGTTTTAATGTACCATCAAAAAATAAGCAAAGATTGTTCTATGAGACTCAATGTACATAAGATAGTGCTGCTTTTTATACTACATTTGCACAGCAAGTTTTTATATTATACACATTCTTTGAACATTTGCAAAATGCAGTATTTTGGTAAACATCGACCAATATAAGTAATTGTGAAATAGTCTCTCACATTATCTTTCGGAGTCCTAAGCCAAGTTTTAAAAGCCGTTTAGTTATTTCTCTGTTCAGTGGTAAAGTCCAGCTAATTTATGGCCTTTATTATGCTTAATAAACAAAGTCTAAATATCTGTAAGAATAAAGAGCATAATATTCTAGCATATGAGTAAAGAAGAATAAATATATGAGCAAGAAACATATAAAAAGATTCTGTCAAACACATGAGAACTTGGAAATGTCTTGCACATATTTTTTAAACTTATTCTAGTTTTTTTTTTAAAGAAAATTAGGGAAAATGAACTTCTCGTTGTGAAGTGACAATCAGAATTAAAAAAAGGCAAAATGTCTTCTGACAGAAAGTCATTTAGTAATATAAACACCAGCCCAATAGTATATACCATAAAAAGTACAGCTCTGCTTATATCATACATAGATGCCTAAGTGATGTGTAGTAAAAATATACTACAAGCACAATATTCTCAAAAATAATTAACATTTTGTCCTCTGTTTAAACAGAAATAGTTAATGAAGTCATCAACTAAAACAAAATATGGGTACTAGAAAAGTAATTAAATTAAAAAATGCTGTTAGGATTGAGGACTATTTTCGGTTGGTTATTTAACTAAACATGCTGATTCATTGGGGTCAGTCAAGAATGAATTTTCATGATTGTTACTGGGTCACTTTCTGATATTATAAGTCCAAAGTTATAATTCATTTCAAATTAAATTTAAAAATTTATTAAAGACAAACAGCAAACAGTAAAATCCAAAGCAAGCACAGTTCAGAGACCATTATAAAGCTCTTTCAAGAATCTGAATGTAAGTAAAACAATTGTGAAAAGAAGAAGAGAAAGGAAAAGAAACCATGTAATAAGATTAAAACCTACCTACCACAGGCATTCAGGGAAAAAAACAGCCCCGAGAAGTCAGAGAGATGACAGTCAAGAAAAAGAAATATGAAGAGCTATGGCTAGAAAGGAGAAATGAAATACACAAATACAACACGGAAAAACTAGCTAGGTAGCAGAACAGCAGAAAAGGATATGTGCATTAGAGTAGGTCATAAACTAAATATAACCCAGGGCCTGAAGTTATTCAAAAGAGGATGAATTTGAATCTAGGTTATTTTAATAAAGTGCTGAGTGTGAAAAACAGGAGGTCATTATAGTGCTCTAGAGTGTGTTATAAGAGAAGTGACTATCCAACACTGGACACGACCCTTTCAGGAATCTCAAAGAGAACAACAAAAATATAAGGTGACTCCTGAAGAAGAGCTGAAGAAAAACAGAATTTCAGTCTTGGAAAGGAAGGGCTGAGGGTGGACAACATCACACCAATTTTCCCACGTGCAGAAGACTTTTCTAGGAACAGATGATCACTGCTCTCCCTACTGAAAAGAACACGGACAAAAAGAAACTTGCTCCGTTTCAGCAAAGATTAATGAAAAATCTCCAGTTGCTAGAGAGGTGAAACACTAGAACAGGATAATGGAAGAGACTGGGCATCTCCTTCACCGGCTGGACAAGCATCTGGATTGTCACAAGTGGGATGCCGCACCAGAAATAGTAATACATTCTGCTCTTGATATGCTGAAGTTTTCTGCATCCCTGCATTTTTATCTTTCAAATAATACACAAATTTATACTTGTCTCACTGACATGGAAATCCGTGTCACAGAAGGAAGAATTACAGCCCTGATTCTACCAGTGAGGATCCAGCTGAAGGACTGTGTGACATTAGAGGGACTGTAATCAGAGTCACGCTCAGTTAATCCAAATCACTACCTGCTCCTACGTTCTCTGACAAACAACAAAAATATACTTCACATGAATGAATTAGCCTGTAACTGTATTTCATAGATATGATCGCTCCCACGTTATTTAAAGAAATACCCAGACAAGTCATGTGTGCAAACTGGGTTACGATTAGCCGTATTTGCCTCTAACTCATTACTAATGCAAATCTAGTTAAATGACTTGCATTTTGCTTAGAGCAGCAATGAATTTAGCCTATGAAATATGAACAGAATAATCACACAGTCATGTATAGAGAAGTCACCTCTTGTGTAAAGCGTCTTTTCTTCACACTGGGCAAGACATCTTGCTGGCTCCCTGAACCATCACAACCAAGTGAGGTCTGTTTCCGTTTGTTGGAATCCTGTAGGCAAGTAACTGCGCCATCCAGTGAGTGTTTCTCAGCAGATCTGGATGTTACCGAGCAGTCTAGAGCTTCATCTTCGTTTTCTGTTTCTACTTTCACAACATTTTTTTTAGGAATTTTTACTGGAAAAAGAGAAGGTTTAGAAAGATAAAGCACTCTCTCCAGAAAACCATGACACCCTTAACATAATCTTTTGTGGTTTGTTTCTTTTTAAGAAAATGTGTTTTGAAGAACATAATTTTTTTTTGTGACTTGTATGATAAGTGTATGCTGAGGTCACCCCAAAGTCAAGTTTTTGTTATGCTAGGAACCATTCAGTCATCCAGTAAATGACAGTTTCTTCCCCAAAGAAGAGTCTAAAGTATAAACAAATAAAGTTACAGTAGGAAGATTTTTTTGGAGGGGGAGGAAGGATGTAGAGCAGAAAATATAATGAGTAACAAAGATAATGGTGTATTTTAGATAGCTTTTTAAAAAACATTAATGTAATTTGTCTTGATCCAAGTGCATTCTTTATCAGGTCACAAAGGCTTTAATTCAACAAGTATTTTTGCCTGATCATAAATAACACAAAGTATAATATTTTACCTTCATCATCATCAGTGATTTCAGCTGAATTCATCTTCTATCTCACTAAAGAACAAAACAAAAATACAAAAATAAATATCAGCATCTTCTGGAATCAGGAAATCTCTACATCTGTTTTTATAATTACTTTTAATCTAGAGCCATTGGGCATTAACAGCCCACAGATAACTTCCAGTCTGTACTTTTGTAATAACTAGCTATTTTCAGTAAACTTCATGGCCACCTATAGGCCTCTCAACATGCAAACTATACTGCAGACAACATATGACAGCTAGGAAAGTATTTCAAACTCTATGTCTTTTTCTGATATGGAGAAAAGTAAAAGTCATTTAACCTTCTCTATAAAGTATCTTGGCAGTATATAAATGGAAGTTAACTGTATTAAACTCTCCATCCGGTACCAAGTCACTACTTATTACAGTCAAATGTTTTTATATTATCATTGTGGGTGACCCAAAGTCATCACAGAATGAAAACTCATCATAATCTGTAATATACATGCTGGAGTAAGTTTTCATTTAAAAATCTTTGATCTTTTGATATGGATTGCATCAATTCAGGCAGAGCAATCTGCAGATCTACAGTAACTACTTTTTTTCTGTCAGCCTGTAAATAATGTAGGAATGTCTTTTGTAAGGAAAAACAAATACATGTATTATTCTAGCATGATTTTAGCATTACCTCTCACACAAAAGACTCAGCCGTATTTCTGTTTCCTCGAAAACTAATTTTGCAAGTTACTTGGGGGCAAACATCAATCTGTGGACATGTTCCTGAAAGATATTCTAAATCTTTTGGAGATCTACAAAGCAAACAACCTAATCAGATCTCACGGACCGTTACAGGGCACACAGCTGCAAACTGACACTCTCAACTGGTAAGCTGGTGACTGGTGAACTGTCACACACCGCTCATGTTCATCTACACCCAGCATTATGTTTACTTGGTCCCAGAGTACTATTACTTTACATTTTCTACAGTTACATTCTTCTTTCAAATAGTTTTCTTCCAACTGTTCCTGCCTGTCCTTTAGCCAAGGTCTGAAATCAAGACAGCCCTCCCTCTGGCTGGAGCAAGTGAATGAAACCAATCAATCAAAAGTGTACGTACAGCCCAGGAGTGGTAATTATAGTGAAATTTAAAAGAGAGATGGGGAGAGAAAGAGACAGAGAATCTGTTTTGGAGGGGAAAAAAAGTCTCTACCTCTCTTCTGAATAGTGTTGAATAGAATTTTTTTTTTTTTTAAATCTCAAAATACTGTTAAAAAACTCTGTAACACTTGAATGCTGTGTAGCTATGAAGTTTTCTTTGTCTGCAACTGACGGCTGTTAATGGTAAGTATGAGATCCCATTCTGGGTAAGGTTTTGTACGATTGCACTACAATGGGTAGCACACACACACAAAAGATGCATGGAGTTATAAAATCAGCTCATACTGGGCCACTCTAGAAGTCAAAATACCCTTTGATGTGCTGATCTTCAATGTGGCCCCTATATACAGCCTGGTAAAGGGCATCCTCAAGAGGATAACGTGAGATTGTCTTCATCATCATGTCACCAGAAAAAGTCTCTCTCAGTTGGATGTAGAGCTACTACAAACCCCTAGGTAGCTACTCCTTTTACCCACCATAATCCCCTATTTCAGAACTTGCATTTATTAATTGATCCACATATAAATTATGCCAGCTTAACAGTACTATAATCACTTCACTTCAACTTTTGCAAACTCTGTAGAGACATAACAGCATGAAACTAAGTGGCCCACACCAACTTCTAAACCACCTGATAAGCACTGGTGAGGGTTAACACCCAGTCTTACTAACTCAACAGTATTTATGAATTTAGACACAGCCACTACAGCTCTTTATGAAAAATCCTAAGACCGTGTACTTCGTACAGCACCATCAAAAAGCTACGTTGGACCTTAAGAAAAGCACATAGTACTAAATGTTCGCATTTTGCCCTGATATCCCAGGTACATTGATATTCAGTGCCTAGATCTTTCTTACACTTTTCCACACTGCACTAGGCTTAGCTCTGAGGGATGTGGTACAAGACCAACATGCGCCAGTGCTCAAGAAGTGTGACACAGAGTCTTTTTGTGAGGGCGTGAGGTGACAGTAAGCAAATCAGCCGATACCACTACAGAATATTCTGTAATGGAAATCAAAATGGTTTTCTAGATAATCCTAGACTGCTCTATCAGAGCGAAACGCTAAAAGATGGTAAACAGAGAGCCAGAAGTGAAGACTATAAAGGTGGCGGCGGGCAGAACAACACAAAATATTTAGGAGCAGATATAGGGAATTATATTTTCCTTCTAACTGCTGCTATTACTGTTACTCAAATAGGAAGAATGCTTTAGGAGAATTCCTCTGAGAGAATACAAGCAAACTGGAAGGAGAAGATAAATGAGGATCTGAATAGCCACTCTTTAAAACTGGAAAAAAGTGAAAACTAAAGCAAAGCACATACCCTGGTTAACAGTTAACTTTCTAAAGGAGGCAACATCAGGAAGACCCAAAGCTATCCCAAACTCAGGCCAAATAACATTAAGTCAACACATTGTTTCACAAATTTGAAACAAAGTGTTATTACTTATTTTGATTTTTTTTTTAATTTGAAAACTGCCAGAATACAATTAAAAGCAAATAGTCAAAACCAGCATCAGAATCAATGAGGCACAGAAAGACTGGGCTTCATATTTGAACTCTTTGGTGCCAAACAAAGCGTGAGCTCCAACCTCTTCCTTTTTGGGAGCCCTAGGAACATCTCTCTCCTTACCTGGTTTCCTGTCTTCTTTGTGAGATTTGTTAAGAACTTAGGTATTATGAAAAAATGAAGCTTCTGTCAAGAGAGAGGATTCAACTGCCCCTCTGATTTCCTGCCTCATAGTCCCACCTGCTTCCTCGGTCAAGCATGGGTGCCCACCTTAACCTTCAGCGAGCTCTTCCAGCTTGATAAACTGACAGAAAACAATTCACTTCTTCCTTTGCCAGATTACTTTTCTTCTAATTCAGAGAGGTAGAAGGTAAGGCAAGTAATTGGGCACAGCTCGGCAGTACGCACGGGGTTTGGGACAGAAAGGAAGAATTAAAATCTCTCTCTCTCATACCAGCAAGCCACTGGCTTGGTTCAACCATTTCATGAAACCTCACTTATCATCCATTTACACCACCATCTTGCTTCAAATTTGGGTAGCAATGAACTCACAAGTGAGTAGTGAGCGGACACGTATCAACAGAGCAATTGTATCATTGCTTCCATAGGAAATTAGTGCCTATGGGAAGGGGGAAAGTCTGTGTGCGCGCGTGAGCATGCCCATGCATCTATGCCTGTCTATGTTAAGGTTATCAATAATTTTGTTGATCGTTTAAAGTCCGCTAAAGATAAAACATTTCAGATTCCTTAAAATACTGTTTGCAGTGAATCAGTACTTATGAATAATAATTATTGCCGCTGTAGAAGAGGCAGCAGTGTCAAAATCTGTTTTGAGGTAGCATTCTGGCCCAGATTGTGAGAATAAACAAAGCTGGAGGAAAAAAAAGACCTAAAAGAACTTGGGACAAAATAGTGCAAAGAGCAATCGAGTAAGAAATCCATCCAGTAAAGCACGCACCTGACAGTTCCTTGTCACGTTGAGTATACAAACATAATTCATTCTTACCTTACATGTCTTTTTTCAAAACAGAAGATAAATACATGTATCATCCTTAGTCTAGTACTGACTCAATGCTATCTACAGGACAGCGGTTAGCTAGTTCGAGGAAGGGGTGAACACCCCGCGCTGAATTTGGGAGCCCAGGTCTGCAGCTGTGACTAGCAGAGCAACCAGCCTTGGCAGCTTTATCCTGCTGGCATACAGACGGATGCTGCAGTACATCCTACTTTCCGGTGAAAAGAGGATCTGGAAGGAGGATTCCAAAACATACCAAACACCTACAACAGCAGCTACGTCAACAGCCAGATCCTGATCCTAATGAAGTTGATTGGCACTGTAGCCTAAGCACCCGTATCTCTAAATCTTAGCTGAAACTTCTTGTATTTCCACCTGAACTGGCCAAAAATATCATGCTTTACAAAATAGGAACATAAATCTTAAACTTCAAGTTTTAGGATTTTGCTTGTAAATATTTTAATTTGTGAATCAAGTTATTTTAGAAGCATTTTCTTTGGGTTCTTTGGTTTCTATCTCATGTATAAAGTTAAATTCCAAAGAATGTGTGAACAGTTCAGCAACATCTAATGGAACAGGCATACAATAGGTAAACTAGCACACTGTTTCTCTATGCTTACGCTAAAACATGGGTAAAACACTCAGAAAGAATAACTCTCATAACCCTGATCATGGATCCTACACCTCTGAACACTAAAAATGAAGCGAATAGCTAATACTCTCACTTTTTCTTCAAAAGAGACTCTGCTTTTGATTAATGGCAGTCTGCTTCTAGTACAGTCATTAGCTAAACCTATCTAATGTAGGATAAACAGGAAGATGTGTAGCACTCGGACAAATTCAACAATCAAGGAAGAAGAGGTAAATGGACCCCATCCTCACAAAGCAAACAATAAATCATTAGATTTTACTGCCTACATTTCATCTATTGAGAACAGTCTTCTTGAAAACAGTATGTAGTTTATGATTTCTATGTAATCAATCTCTCAAAATAAACACCTTGCTGATGTATCAGCATATACTCACCTTCCCATCTAAACTGCCTTGACAGCTACTAGTGCTGGTACTGTACAGACACCTGTGCTGAGCCACTGCTAGGTGTCACGCAACGGAGCCTGAGGGATGCCAGCGCTCACCTGCGAAGACACAAACGTTCCTTTTGGCTCAGTCCTCCAGACGCACCCACACATCCTGACACTTGAAACAGTTTAAAAAAGATAACCAAAAAGGACGGTTTTCTTAAGGTGATTAAAGCTTTGTTCTGCTAAGAGAAGTGAATAAAAATACCTAGATTTGCAATCATGCAAATGACAATACTATTCTGTTTAAACTAATGTACGATGAGCCTATTTGCAGAGAACTGATGTGATATACAGCATTGTGTCCTCCTGTTTCAACTTAAGCTACTTCTAATAAATTGAATATGCATTACAGTCTAACTCTAGACACTGATCTAAGTGTTTGATTTGTGATCTTGTAATTTGCAGCAAGATCCAGAAATCCCACTCAGCTACCAGCTAAACTTGTAGGTGGTTACAGGTTCTAGATAATGAATATCTGGTGGACCACATACACAACACCTGCTGGGACTGCTGCACTAGGAACTCCTCTGCATCTGGCCTACTGGCTAAGATTCAACACCCATTTTCAGAACATGCTCAGTACTTTGGGACTCTCGTAGAGGACAGTCATAAGTAAGTGTAGGGTATTTCACTTACCAATGGAACAACGCTTAAAGAAGTATTTGGGAGCCAGAAAAACTGGGGTTTTTTTGTTTTGGGTTTGTTTTTTTTTTTTTACTTTCCTGCTCGATTTTGCAGCATAGACAAGAATTCAGGTCCCCAAATCCTAGAAAAGTGATCTAATCACCAGGTTATGGCACACTGGAGGGCAAGTGGGAAGAGGAGTGGTGGGCCAGGGCGTGAGGGAGCAGGGAAAGAAGGGGAGGTCCCAGCACACCTTGGCTGTCACTATTGGCCGAATCCCCTTTCCACAGATCTGCTCTCCCTTCTTCTCATCAGATTAGACAAGGAACGAGACAGCTCAATGAAGGGACTTAACACTCCCTACTTCCATTGGTATCGCTTAGACACATGCCTCTAATCAAGACTTACCAGGTTATGATACTTAATTGTATCATTGTACCACTTTGGTAACAGCATCCAACATTGAAATGGTATTACCCATGGCTAACAGGGAAGCTCAGTGCATAGTGCAATGCTGTGCATTCCAAAGCATGGAAGAATACCTTAAAAATGAGGTTTTGGAATGTTTCTCTGTGCATTTAGTGCTAACTACCACCCTGATGCTGTTTTTGCAAGCAGAGCAAAAAATGTGATCCATTTATCAAAAGTGTGCCTACCCGAAATGTGCACTGAAGCCTTAAGGATTTAAAGCACTTAGGTACAAAAGATTTTGTGAGTAAGGGAGCAAATTGCAAATCATACTCTAAACGTATTTCAGTCTCATATCATCTAGTATAATGCACAATGCTACTTAAAAACAGCATAAAACTGTACCTAGTTATTGATATACAAAACAGAATTGAATCATAAGCCTAAGTTAAGTCATCCCATGATGTGCATTCTCCTCTTCCTATTTACCACCTAACAATTACTCATGTGTTGGAAGGATGTTGTCCCTACCTGTCTTATGATTGCGACCATTGTAAAAGCACAATGCAAAGAGAAAAGATCTTGCTGATAATGTATGATCAAGGCAGTTCTCTGCCTTTGCAATCATTCTTAAAGAAAGCCTGATCGATCGCTTTCAAGTTCTGACTTAAAAAACACAAAGTCCACCAGAAAAAAAACAGTTGGTTCTGCTGTTCATAACTAAAAAAATAACTCTTTACTCTTCAAACTCCCATATCTAACATAAGAAGTTCTGACAACTGAAAAAAAAAATTAGCGTGAAAACCGTGTAGGAAAGTATAAAAGTGCACACATGCTGTATGTGGAAAGAAATTCTGATTTCATAACACTTGTTAATTATAACTACAAATGTAAATGAATCATTATCTTAACTAATATACTCTAATGTATCTAATATACATCTAATAAGAATGCCTGTTACCAGTTTTACATGTTTGCCATTTATAAATTAAATGCTTGCATAACACCGTACCGTTCAGTTCATTACTGCATGGTAAATGAGTAGATGCTGCTTCTTGAATGCACACCATCCCGCTAAATACTTTAGCACCTTCACATAGGTTGGAAGGAATGTCTCTAATTGTTCATTAACGACTATAAGAATGTTACTAAAAATATAGGGGTTTAGACATTGTGTACTATGAGATGTTTATTCCTTTTAAAGCCTCATGGTGGTGGTACATTGCTTCATATATAAAACTCAGAGGCTTCAATGAAAGTATTCTACTTGAGTGTCATTTGCTTCTGAAGAGGTGAATTGTTCTTTACATTTTGGTCAACAGTTAAGATACATGTGTTTGCTAATAACATTAAATATGTGTTTATGTGTATGTGGAATAAGCTGCTCAATTTCCTTGCTTTCAGCATGCAGTGAAAGATACAACACTCCTCTTAAAGCACAGGTAACCTACTGAAGTTAAATAAATGATGGGAATACCAAAAAAGCTGGTATTCCAAAGAGGTAACATTGGCTAAATTTTACAAGATCTGCACATTGAACTGCTCTTTAACAGCCAAAACGTAGCACCTCCTCTTAACTACACCTTCCTGTAACAGGTCCTGCTCCCTGTCTCTGGGTCTCTGTCTGTATTTCATATGAATATGGATAAAACACAGAAAGCAACCGACGCTTCCCAAGGGAAGGCCACAGCCTTGAAAGCTGGTGTGGGTAGGTGGAAGTAGTCCCGTCCCATGCAGCAGGTGAGCGGAGGGCTGCTCTAACCGCCTGGTCACAGTGGCGTGAAATACGGTCCCTCGCGACGTTTTAGAAGAACGATTCCTGCGTAACGCTTTGAAATAACGAGGGCAAACACCCGTTCTCAACACGCAGCCCCGCAGTCCCAGGAGGAGACGGGACCGAAGGCACGCGCCTCTGCTCAGGCTGCCCAGGCGCTGCCTCCTGCTCCGGGTGCGTGTTGCTTTCCAGGCCGTCTCTTGGAAAGCTCTCCTGCTGGGCTGCAGAAGCAAACCCAGAGAACTGCGAGTTCTGGGCTCTGCTTTGGGAGCCAAGTAATCTGCATCTCTTACTTCCTAGCTGTAGCACTGGGTTCAATAATTTCAATATTGCAATTATCCTCGGGGTACATTCGATTCCTCCAATTTGTAAAAAACAATGCAACTCAAATTCAATTCAACTGAATTACACATAAATACCACTCCAAAATTGAGCCGTAAAATGTATTTCTTAGAGGTGATGTTTGCCTTCTGTTCAGTTCCACGGGCCAGTGATTTGCCTTTAAATATTACAGAATTTTGACAAGGCCTTCGCAAAAAACCAAAACAATGCAGATTTTTTTTCTGGACTTTTTTGCATTTTCATTAATATTTTAATTTTCTATTTAAGTATCCTTCTGTTGCTGAAAACCTCATCACCACACTCACTGGTATGATGTTCAGAATAAGCAAATAACTAGAAAGGGTCACAGTCGGTATGCTGCCTGAAACATTACTTACTAATGTTACAAATTACACCTAAAACTATTATAACAGACAGAAATTGGGGAAGGAGGGGAAAATCTGTATTGTTTGTACACCCGCCTGTACTTTGTATATATTTAATCAGGTTTCCTTATAACTTGTGACTTTTCTGAGGAAAAATTTTGAAGAAGTCCGATACCTGAAACCACCTTAATTAAAAAAAAAAAAAAGATAATGGATTTCAAATTGACTACCCTTCTTAAAGAAACCGTGAAATAAGAATGTTGCCTCAGTTAATCAAACAATGAACAAAATGCAAGTAGACAATATAAAGAATACTAAAAGCAGATGCTTTCTATTCGATCAATTTTGAGATAGTAGGGTGCTGCTAGTAACCCAAGAGTGGAGTTTTTGAGTAAAACTTATTCTTGATATCCAGTACTGACACTTGAAATACTAAATACCTTAGAAAACAGTATTCCAACATTACAACCACGTTCTGACTACAAATACGCGTATAACAAGTTCTAAAACTATGAAAAAATCTTTTTAAAGGAACCAGCAGATGCTGTTGGAAGCATTTCCCTTAGGGACACTGCAATCCCTATACTTAACATAGTTTGAAAACCTCCTCTGCTGCCCTGTGGAGAAGGGCAGGAAGCCTCAAGTCTCCACCGAAGCCAGCCTGCGACAAGGGCATTTTGCCAATAGGACTTACAGGGCATGTTCTCAATTTGGGTCTTTTTTTATTTCATTTTACTTACATCTGCAGGATGCAGTTTAAATAAATAAAAAATAAAATCACCCTTCTCAGTTTTCCCACAAGCTTCCTAAAGCCGAAGTTTTACCAACCTGTCCCCCGTACTTTATCGAACACCAGTTTAATCTCGCGCTGGTCAGCAAAACACTAACCTAGTTTATTTCCAGCATTAATGCATCAATTTGGTTTTGCTTCAGTTAGGCGTCTTCCCCTGGTCTATTAGAAACATTTTGTTTTCCTCAGTGCTTCATTCTCTCTCCCCTCATTCTTTGCTTTTATTTTAAAATACCGTTCCATCTGAACTTTGTACAGACAATTTAAAATCTCCTCCAAACTGCAATCAACTCTTCTTTATTTTTATCCACCGGCCTTACCCAAGCTATGAAAATACTTAGCAAAGATAAAAAGCGTGGTTGGTCCAATGCCGAGTTTGATGCAGCAGGAGAGAAAAGGAAAATGTTTCAACATATATCGGCAACTATTCGTTTTATTAGATGTAACCATTCACGTAAATTCATAATCTGATGGCTAGGTATCAGCCAGAAGCAGGGAAAGGGTCTTTCTTCGCCCGTTTAAACGTCTCTGCCCCAAGGGTCGGGCATACACCGGTTTTTTATAGGTGGCAGCGGCAAACTCTACCCCGCACTTCAATCCGAAAAGCTCTGGGACTGCGTCAACGCCGCGTGGAAGCCGTCACATGGCTGCTGGCCTGCCGCCGGCTCGCGTTCTGCTGGTTCAGGGCTTGTCCCCTTCTGTTTACAGAAGGCAGTGTGGACATTCCACAGGG